ACGGACGCGCGCGAGAATCGCACGCGAATGTGTCAATGTGTCAATGCCCACCCGTCGCCGCGCGCGCGCGTCCGGCGCCGCGCGTCGGACCCCGACGCGCGTGCACGACGGTCGCGCGCGCCCCCGTCGCGCGTCGCGATCGAACGCCCTCGCGCGCGCGACGCCGGGGCCGTCGGCGTCGGCGCGGTGGAGTCTCACGGTTCACACGCGGACCTTTATTGGTAGGGTTTAGGGTTTAGGTAGGGCTGCCCGGCGACGCGTCCCGTCGACGCGGCGTCGGTGCGTCGCGCGCGCGTGAGACCGCGCCGGACGCCCGTCGGCGTCGTCGTCGGCGTCGTCGGTCTCCTCGGCGGCGTCGCTGCGAGCGAATCGCGCGCGAATCGTCGGTACATCGTCGCGATCGAGGCGTCATGGATGATGGCGCGCTCGCTCGGACGCTCCTCGACACGCTCTCGCCCGACGCGCCCACGCGCGCGCGCGCGACGGCGACGCTGGAGTCCCAGAGTCACGTCCATGGGTACGCCCTGGCGCTCGCGCGCGCGGCGCTGGATGGTGAGGCGACGGAGACGCACGGAAGACAATTGGCGGCGGTGCTGTTGAAGCGACACGTTCGCGAACGGTGGACTTCGGACGACGGCGCGCCCGGGGCGATGGGCGCGAGCGAGCGAGAGGAGGTGAAGCGGATGCTCCCGATGGGGTTGAGTGATCCGTCGAGTAAGATGCGAAGCGCGTTCGCGGCGGCGATCGCGCAGGTGTGCGCGAACGAGGGCGGGGCGTGGGAGGCGCTGGCGGAGCGGCTGGTGGAGGGCGTCCGCTCGAAGCGGTCGAAGGAGGAGGTGTTGGGGTGCTTGAAGTGTTATGAGTACATCGGGGGGGAGATCGATGCGAAGGACGTGGCGATGTTTGGACCGAGGCTGTTTCCGGAGTTGCTCGCGTTGGCGCGAGACGCGGAGGATCGAGCGGTGAGGAGACGGGCGAGCGGCGCGTTTACGTCGACGCTGCACATGCTCACGTCTCTGAGCGGTGAGGAGCAACGCGCGATGAGAGACATGATGGTCCCTTACCTACCGGTGTGGCTCGAGACGGTGAGTTTGGAGCTCGAAAGCGTGCCGAATCCGAACGCGTTCGACGAATGTGCCTCGACGCTCGAGGCGCTCAAAGGACTTTCGCTCGCGGTGCAGTACTTCACCAAGTCCGCGGGCGAGACGCTCATGCCCGCGCTCTCGCGAGGGGCGATGATGTTTCACACGATCGCACCGATTTGGGCGGCGTACTCGGAGGAGCAGGAGCACGTCGATTTAGGAAACGAGAGCGACGGCGACACGGTGAGTTTCGACGCCGTCATCACCGAGCTTCTCGAGCTCGTGATTCAAATAGCAGAGCAGCCGAAATTGAATAAGCTCCTCGAGGCGAATTTATTGGACACGATTTATATCACGATAGGATACATGACGATGTCGACGCAGCAGGAGGCAGAGTGGACGGACGATCCCAATCAATTCATCGCCGACGAGGAGGAAGATTTTTCAAACGTGCGCGCGGCATGTGGGCTCATGCTGGATTCGCTGAGCAATCGTTTCGGACCAAAGTGCGTCGGTGCGCTCGCGAGCGCGGCGGAGAAACGCATGGTTGAGTCGATATCGGCACGACAGTCCGGTGACGCGAAGTGGTGGCGCGCCAGGGAGGCGACACTGCTCGCCGTGGGGACGCTGAACGATGCCATTGTGGCGTCGGCTCAGAAGGCGCGAGAGACGGGTAAGCCCGCACCTTTGGACGTCGCCGCGTTCGTCAAGGCGGTCATCGACACCGACTTTCACGAGAGCACCGCGTTGAGTGCGCCGTTCTTAAGAGGTCGAGCACTTTGGATGTGCGCGCGTCTGTCGAGCGCGGTGCCGCCTGCGATGGCGGAGACGGTGCTCTCGTGCTCTGTGAGCTCCATGGCGCCGGATTTGCCGCCGCCGCTGCGCATCGGCGCGTGTCGCGCCATGGCGGAGTTCTTACCGTTGGCGAAGCGCGAGGTGATGGCTCCGTACGTGGGGGAGATTTATAAAGGCTTAGGCGGTTTGCTCGTTGAGGCGGGCGAGGAGACGATTCATCTCATTCTCGAAGCCATGCACGTTCTCATCAAAGCGGATGCGGAGGCGGCGGCAGCGTGGTTGGGCGCGCTCACGCCAGCCGTGGTGAAGATTTGGGGCGAGTACGTCAGAGATCCGCTGATAAGCGCTGACGCATGTGAAGTCTTCGAAGCGCTCGCGGCAATTCCCGCGTGCCAGCCGCAGTTACACGCCACTCTGGTGCCGACGCTGTCCCACATCCTCGCGTCGCCGAGCGAGCAACCAGACATGCTCGTTGAGGCCACTCTGGATTTGTTGACGATCATTCTTCGTCCGGCGGGATTGGCGGAGGCAAAGGCAACGCATAACGCGTGCTTCAAGTACGTGTGCGGACTCATCATGCACAGTGATGACGCGGGCGTGATGCAAGGCGCCGCGGAGACTTTGCGCGCGTTCCTGCGCGCTGGCAAAGAATCCATGCTCGAGTGGGGCACTGGGAACGAAAACGTCGGCGGTGGTGACGTCTTGCGCGCCATGTTCGAAGCCGCATCCAGGCTGTTAGACCCCACCCTCGAAGATAGCGCGAGCTTGACCGCCGCGCCGCTCATGTGCCAAATGCTCCGACGACTTCCCACAAAGGTTGGTCCAGTTCTTCGCGACATCACCGCCGCCGTCGTAGCACGTCTGCGTTCGTCTAAGCAACCGAACCTTTCGGCGTCACTTTTGACCGTCTTCGCTCGCATCGCGCACTTCGACGCCAACGCCTTCATCGAGCTCCTCAGCTCGCTTCCGAGCGGCGGTGAGGAGCCGAACGCGTTCGATTTTGTCATGCGACAGTGGGTGGAGAATCAGGGCATGGTGTACGGCTCGTTTGATATAAAGCTCACGACGAGCGCATTGGGGATCATCCTGAGCACGCAACACGCCGCGCTGAGCGCCGTCATCGTCAAGGGTCAGATTGTGGAGCACCCTTCGGAGAGTGGTCGCATCCGAACTCGACAGCGCGCGCGAGACGTCGGTCCGGAGGAGTGGACGCGTGTGCCCCTCTCCTCAAAAATCGTCGAAGTCTTGGCCGATGCCCTCATTGAGCTCGAGGAATCAGCGAATGAAGACCTCGGTTTCGAAGACGAAGAGTGGGAGGAAGACGACGACGCCTTCGACGCCTTCGACGACGCTGGTGAATTCGCCCGCGACGAGGGCTTCACCTCGGGCGACCTCTTCGAGCGCCTACTCATGGCGAAGGGTCTCGCAAACTTCGATCCCGACGACGACGACGAGGCGGAGGATCCGGTGAACGATATCGACCTCCGCGCCTTTATACTGGACGGATTGCGCTCGCTACACGCATCTGGGGCGCTCGTACCGCTCGCTCAAAACGTCGGCGCAAGGCAACAGCGCGCGATGCACGAAGCGCTATCCAAGTAATCGTAGACGCGCTCGCTGCGACCCGAGCTTCTGGTAACATCAGTCTCAAACAACATTCCTCACTCACACGCGCTTGATCGGATCGCACACCGCACGCGCGCGACTCCGAACCGTGTCGCAGAAGCCGTAGAACCCATCCGCGCGCGATGCGGCGCGTTCTGGACGTCATCGGGTCTGCGAGAGCGATTCGCGACGGGTCGACGAAGGCGATTCGTTGGGAATCCAGCCGTGGTTTCGCCTCGTGCGCACTCCGTGTCGCGGTTCGTCGCGTCTCGGCAGTCGACGTCGGTGCGTGCGATGTACATCGACGTTCGTTGAGCGCGCACGGGGGGGGTCACGCGCGAGAACGCGCATGGACGTCGACGAGGGGGTTCGCGGGGTCGGCGGTGGTGGAGCGACGCGGAGCGGAGGACGTGGACGTGGACGACGTAAGAGTGATTCATTCGAGAGTGAACGCTAGAGCGTTGGTAAATGTACAATGTGATCATAATGGATGGCGCGGGCGTGGGATCAGGGATACGAACGCGACTCATGTCGCGTTGAGATACGCGCGCGGGTTCGCGGCGGAGCCGGTGAAGCAGGAGGACGAGAGCGAAGAGACGATTCAAGTTGACCTTCGAGCATTGGATAAGGCGCGGGCGGAGATCGATAAGTTGCATCGCGAGCGACAATTGAAGTCGTGGCAGCGCGCGTACGCATCCGCGGTGGGTGGGGTGGCGTACGTGGCGTCGTACGGACCGTGGGTGCTTTCGTTTGGCAAAATGTCTAAAGAGGAGTGGCGCGCCGCGACGAAGAAGGGATGGGCGCACGCGAAAGAGGAGGCGCATCACTACTGGTCAGGGGCCAAGCTTCTTTGGGTTGAAGTAAAGATCGCGTCGAGGCTTTCGTGGCGGTTGATGAGCGGCTCAGACCTGTCAAGACGCGAGAGGCGACAGTTGACGCGGACGACCGCTGATGTGTTTCGATTGGTGCCGTTCGCCGCATTCGTGCTCATTCCGTTCATGGAACTGTTGTTGCCCGTCGCGCTAAAGATATTTCCAAATATGCTCCCCACAACGTTCAGAGACGAGCTGAAGTACGAGGAGGAGCTGAAGAAGAAGCTCAAGGCAAAGCTTGAGGTGGCGAGATTTTTGCAGGACACAGTGAGAATGATGGCCAAGGGATTGAAGCACTCTCGAAACGGCGTGACTCGAGAACGCGCGGACGAGCTCTACGTCTTCATGAAGAAAATCCGCACCGGAATGAAGGTGACGAACGAGGACATTACGAAGTTTTCCAAAATCTTCAACGATGAGTTCACCCTCCATCAAATCAACCGCGCGCAGTTGGTAAACATGTGCAAGTTCGTCGGCATCGCGCCGTACGGCACCGATACCTTCCTGCGTTTCCAACTCCGAACCAAACTCCGAGATCTTAAGAACGACGATAAGACGATATACTTTGAGGGATTGACGAACATGACAACGAGCGAATTACGAAGCGCGGCACGCGCAAGAGGCATGCGCTGGGAGTGTGAGAGAGATGAGCTCATCACGCAGCTTGAGGACTGGCTCGACCTGAGCCTGAAGCAAAAGCTTCCGCCGACGCTATTGTTACTCTCTCGCGCGTTCGCGATCACCGCCACATCGGCGGACATTATGGTTGACAACAAGTCCAAGGTGTTGGAAGACATCACCGTAACCTTGGCGTCGTTGCCCGAGGACGCAGTCGACTCCGTCGCGTTGGATGAAGGTTTGGCGACGCAAACTGCCGCGAACAGAGAAGATTACACAAAGAGAATGGAATTCGTCGAGAGAGAAGAAGAGATTATTGAGGAAGAAAGAGAAGCCGCCGCCGCACAGGAAGAGAAGAAATCTCCGGAGCCAGAGACCCTGGATGTGGCCTCTGCGGAGATGACGGACGTGACGACTGCGAAAGCAAAACCGATCCCACCCCCCGCCGATGGCGATGATGCCGATGCAGAGAGCTTACGTCAGTCAGAGCAAGCAATAAAAGACGAAGAAAAGAAGACGTATGCGCGAGAGCAACGTGCGAAGCGCACCGCGCAACTCTCTCGTCTGCTCACGATGGTTTCGGACGCCTCATCTGTCTCTGTCGAGCGCGCGGAGTTGATGATGCTCGTCAAGAAAGGTGTCGAAGCTTACTCTGACCGCGTCGAGGCGGCGCGTTGCGCGCCTGAGCAAATTGCCGTTGACCAGGAGGCCATCGACGCCATCAAGGCGCAGCAGGATAACGAAGAGGCAAGGCTCTCGAACGAGCTCGCCGATCAAGTCAGCAAGCGCGTTGATAAATTGCTTCAATCGGCATGCAATGATATAGAGGAAGCTGAGCGTCGCATTGGCGATAAGCTTCGCGTGCTCGACACCGATTGCGACGGAACTATCACGATGGCCGAGTTGATGAAAGTCCGAGACGTCTTAGGCTCGGATCAAATCAGCGAAAGCGACGAAATCGATCTGGTAAACATTCTGAGTAGTCTGATTCGCTCGGACGGCACGATCGCTGTGAATGATCTCAGAAAACTTACCAGCGAGGTCATCGAGAAGGACCACCTGGAGGATATCGAGGAGGAAGATGAGGTTGCGAATGAGTCCGCCGTTGCGCAGGAATCCGAATCCATCGCCGATCAGACCTCGGTCGATTCTCCCGTCGACGTACCTTCGAAGAAGTAACGATTAGTCACATCCTTTAGACAGTTTAAAGCACCGGCTATCAAGCACCGCCGGCTCCGTCATTTTGTTGTAACAACGACCCAACAACGACACCATTTCGTGGCTCCCGTGGATCAATGTTTTCGTAAACACAGCACAATGCGCGTCGAGGACTTCCTCGCGGACGCCGACAAAGCGTTCGGACGCTCGATGTACAGCTCAGAGCCCTCTGAAGCTTCCTACACGTCCTCGCGCGGTGAGAGTGCATTCAACCGCGCAGAGGAAGATTCTCTCCCGTCCGCCCGCTCTCATCGCTCGCGCGATCCCTCGGCGTACGCGCGCAACGCCCGGGATCCTCCAGTGACGACGCGACGAGTCAAGACGAGCGAGCGGTCAGACGAGAGCGCGTGGGTAACCATGCGCTCGGTGGCGCAGGCGCTCGCGAGCAACCGGGCCGCGAGCGCGGCGCAACGGCGAAGGTTCTGCGACGTCTTACGAGAGCGAGCGACGAGCGTAAGAGGGGTGTATGAGATCGCGCGCGCGCCCGGGGCGGTGAGCGCGCTGAAGCGGTTGACGGGAGACGCGGACGCGGACGCGAGGCGAGGCGCGTGTGAGGCAACGAGGGCGTTGGCGAAGACAGAACTCGGCGCGTCGTTATTATGCAGTTCGGACGAGGAGCTTAGAGAGGCGTGGGGTGTGATTCGGTTGTGGGAGTGGCACATGGCGCTAGCGCGAGTGCGATGTACGTTCGGATTGAGGGCGTACGCGAAGTGTCGAGTCGCTTTTGTGGCGTCGACGGCGCTCCCAATGAAGGCTTCGGGTGAGGTGGTTGACAAATATTTATCGAGGCAGACGTTTTTCCCCTTGCAATCGAACACGGCGCCGACATTTTCGCGCGACGTGTCCATCTTGGCCGCGATCGCCAGGACTTTGAGTCGAAGTGAAGAGGATCCGGATATTTTGTTGTCGGCGCTCGGAGCGCTCGACGAGATCCTGTCGACCATCAACTGTTCAGTCGAAGGCATACCGTTGGCCGACAACGCGATGAACGCCGCCGCGCGGCAATTGGCGAAGTCCACGATCACAAGTTTGGCCGCGATCGATCCCGTCGACGCGTTCACGCAATCGGAATGGACCTCGGCGGTTCGACGCCCCGGATTACGAACACGACTCGCCAAGTTGGTATCTCGTTGGATTTGTGGAACACCAACCTCAAACGCAGACGGTGAGGAGCAGTCCGATTCTGAGGACGACGAGGGTGAAGGAGGTGAAGATACCAAGGAAAAAATCTCGTCTCGAGGCGGTATGGCGCACGCATCCGTGCTCGATGACGCATTGTATAGCCATCTGCTTGCGCTCTCAGTGCACGAGTCAGACGCCAACATTCGAGAGAAAGCAAATCGCATCCTGTACGATGCTACGCTGACCTGCGAGAACAAATCAATCGGTAAGAAGGTGTACGAAGCTCTCATCGGAAATGACAACCTCGCGCGCGCGAGCGCACTGTCTTGGATGGCATACTTGTTCGTGCAGCACGTGCGAACGGTTCGCGCGTTCGTCACGATACACGACAAAGAAAAATGGCTTCTGACAAAGACGACCAAGTACCTGCTATCGGACGAGGTGTTGCGGTCGGCGGCAAAGGGTCTTTCGGAAAACTCAGAATCGATTCGGCTGGGCGCGACGCGGATGCTTCGCGCCGCGTGGGACGCTATTTCAGCGACGCCGACAGCAGCACCGATTATGGATCAAGAAGAAGAACGAGAACAGCCAATTGCGGACAACGAACCGATTCTCGTTGATGAGAGGTTTACGTTTAGGAGCCGTGAGAGGTGGCATATATTCGTGAATAATGGCATCATCGACGCGTTGTGCAATATGCAACGCAGTCGAGCGCCAGGGGCGGCACATCTCGCTGACATGACTCTTGATCATTTTTACAAGACGGAGCAAGCCGCGCTCAAGTTCCTCTTGGCGCGCGAGGCACCGAAGACCGAGGAGGAGAAACGCGAAGCGATGAGACGTAGGATAGAAGAACACAAGGATGACTTCAAGGGGAAAAGCTCGCTCGCCATTGTCAAGACGGCCACTGACGAGGTAGGTGAGAAATCAGACAAGTCTTCTCCAAAGGTTGTCGGCGACGATGTCACGCCGCAGCGCGCGCGGTGGCACGAGCACAGATCGAAGCACAAACCAATCATATCAAAGTTTACCGACGTTGACAACATCGAGGGCGATGATCTCCAACGCGACGGATGGCGCGCCAAGGTGGAAGATTACATATTAGCTGGCGGCGCCGGAGGAAGAAAAACCGTCGACGGTGAGCAGCGTCGAGGCCCGTACGAGCGCGCGGTTCTGCGCGAAAGCAAGATCGGGATCGGCGCCAAGGGCTCAAAACTCCCGAGTATATGGTGTCCGGACGCCGGGGTTGGCCCTTACGTGGAAAACGTAGATTCGACGCCGAAGAAGTCGAGCGCGCGAGTGTTCACGCGCCCGTCCGAGCGACGCAACATGTCATGAGTCGAAACCGTTCGAAGCGTGTCTTGGAATGTGGCACCAGTGTACAAACCTTAGAAACAGAGCGACGATCGCTGTCGAGCGCGAGCTGCGATGGATCGAATGTATATCATTTAATCACTAGAAGAAATGTCGCGACGCGCGCTCACATCAGACTATTCACGTGGTGGCCCCACGCGAGGCCCGTGAAGAGTAAACCGAACACCAAGAACGGTTGCGCGCTCGCTTGGTACTTGACGTCGTTCTTGATGGGGTCCGGTAAGAAGAACTTGAATTGCGCGTAAATTTGCGGGGCGATCATGCAGAAGAGGACGTTGGAGTAGAATTCCTCGCCAATCGCGCGTAGGTAGAAAGCGACAAAGAGCTGGGTGATGTCAATCGTTCCGACGGTGATCCACTTCGCCTTCTCGACGCCAAAGGCGACCGGGAGCGATTGCAAACCGAGTTTGCGATCACCCTCGATGGACTTGAAGTCGTTCACGATGGCGATGCCCAAACCGGCGATGGAGTACAAGACGGTGAGAACCATCACGTCGGGCGTCAGCGTCCCGAAAGTCGCTTGACCCGCCCACCAAGGAAGAGCTATGTACGACGCACCGAGCGCGTAGCACCCCTTCCAGCCTTCCGCCTTGAGCTTGAGCGGCGGCGCGCTGTAAATGTAAGAGATGTACGATCCGAACAATGCCAAGAAGAACACGATGGGAAATCCGTGTTCGCACCACCGATCGAGCTGCAGCGCGCACGCCCATCCACCGACCAGCAAAACCGCAATCTGCGCCTTGACCTCATTCTCCGAGATCGCTCCGCTCGGAATCGGTCTGTACGGCTCGTTGATCGCGTCGATTTCTCTATCGTACCAATCGTTGATCGTCTGCGTGTACCCCGTCAAAAACGGCCCGCTCATCGTCATGCACAGCATCGCCTTCCCGATGTTATCCAGATTCCACTCGTAATGCCCACTCGCCGCGGCGCCGCACATCACCCCCCAGATCAGCGGCACCCACGTGCCGGGCTTTGTCAGCTGCACGCGAATCTTCCAAATGTCATCCGTCTCCCCCGCCCCCTTGAACCCCAACAACTGCCGGACGTTCGCCCCCAGTTCCGTCGTCGTGACGTCATCCTTCGTATTCTCCGCCTTGATGTTCGCGTCCTCCGCCTCGACGCGCGCGACGACGCGCCTCGTTCGCCGCGTCGTCCACGTCCCCGGTCGCGCGGCCTCGATCGTCCGTCCACCCTGGCTCTGTCGCCCGCGCGCGCGCGCGTCTCGCGCGCCGTCCAGCG